ACACACACACACACATATATATATATATATATATATATATATATATATATATATATATATATATTATATATATAATATATATATATATATAATATATATATATATATATATATATATATATTATATATATATATATATATATATATATATATATATATATATATATCAAACTGCTAAGCAGCATGCGTGTGTCCCTTTTCACAGTATAAACGGCTACTTCAGCGCCAATCAACTAATTTCATCGTTTTCCACTTCCGTGAGAGATCAAATTTTCAGCTGACCTCACCAGTCTCCGTATTTGTTGACATTTGCAGTCAGCAATGATGTGTACAGTCTCCTCCCTTTGAAACTTGTCCACCAATAACAAACATTCACAACACGATTACCGACCAATAAAGTTCGTTTTTTTTCCAAAGGCCACTTCCCTCCTCCTCTCTGACAGTGGTACAAAAGGTCCGTGTTGCTGCGCTCCGAGACCTTGTCAGCGCAGAAAGGTATGCCAACAGTACCTGCTGCCTGTTCTTGGCCGTTGTAGAGTCGACCTCTTTAAACCCGGTGGCAGGAGTGGGTGGTCGAGTGTAAGGAGTTCTGGTTGACACCAATATATTTCTGAAAAGCTGGTCTGTGTTCTTGTGGTAAAATTGCTGTAAGTACTACACAATTGCTGTAAGTACCCCGCTCTGATATGAATAGGTAGCTAATTCAATCATGTATTCATTTATTGGCATGTTTTTTTTTTTTTTTTTTTTTTTTTTTGGCGTATAGTGAGGAATAATACCTACCTCAATTTTCCCCACGAAGAGAATGGCTTTGACGCGACCGACCGCCTTCCTCCTCCTCGCTCTCTGCCTCCCCTCCTCCTCCCTGGCCAATCACCGGAGGGAAAATTTCAATGCCTCAGACCTGCCAGGCAACCATACGCTCCAACGGCCTTCCTACCACACCTTCCTCACCACCAAGGAAGAGGGCGTGGCCGAGAAGACCCGGGAGACAAGGGCTCTGCGGTCCCTGAGGGCGCTGCTGGTGACGATTGTCAAACAGGAGCTGAGTGACTGCGCTCTCGTGCTGGCGGCAGACCAGGGCTTCCTAGACTCTAGGGTTCTGGCGAATCTGCTGCGGCTGCCCAATCTGCGGCAGGTTTGTGGCAGACGGAGGGAGCCTCCTGATGAACAGAATGTCATGATTTAACAGCGCACTCCAGTGTTATTAAGCGCTTTCCTCCTTCAGGTGGTGGCGGTGGCGACGGCTGAGGACTTTTACGGGCTGCTGTGGGAGGCGTCGCAGTGTCTCGGCTTCGTGTTCCTCCTGCAGGACCCAACTCCCTTCCTCGAGTTCGTCAACACCAAAGAGGATCCGTGGGCCTTCGGAGGAAAGTGAGGAAAATACGTTTAGCGTTCATGTCTTTAATCTTTATTCATACCTCCCCCTATCCCTCACTTAAAAAAGTGCAAACTGGTACTTGATACCTTACCTCTCCGTAACCCCTAAAGATAACAATTTTCGCGTACCACCTCTTGATCACACTCTAGAATTCCCTTACGCTTCAGACACGTTATCGTAGGAGCGACCAGGAACCAGCTGGAGGTCATAGCTAACTCGAAGAAAGGAAGGAAGACGGAGCACATGATAGGCCTCGTTCAGGTGAGGTCACAGGAACCGGTGGTCTTGGGTCGCTCCAGTGTTCCTTTTGAACGTAGTGTGTCTCATGTCAGTTTTGGATTTTTTTTAAAGGTTCACAGATGATAATCGAAGCAAATGCCTGATCCATATTCATGCTGACAGATGTAAGAAAGATATGTATGAGAATACAAGAGATATATTGAACCAGTTTCGAATATATCTTCGTCAGAAATACACGTCCTGCTGACAAAAGATATATTCAAAACCAGTTAAATGCAGCTCTTGTATTGGGAAGATATGCATTCCCATTCGTGTCTTTCCAACAAAATATATCTTAGATATATTGCTTCATGGAATGTTCAAAATATCTGTGTACATTTTTATGAATAGTTATTACTACAAGGTATGAAAATGTAACTATCGCCCAAAACTTTTAATCATAAAATATAAATGCATCTGCAGAATTACATTTAATCAACAGTAATAACAATATGCACACCGTTGTTTGCCAAAAAAGAAAGGCAAATAATGATAATGATGATAAAGATGATGATAATAATAATAACGATGATACTAATAATGTTGATATTAATGATAATGATAGTAATAATAATAATAATAATAATAATAATGATGATAATAATAATAATGATAATAGTAATGATAATAATGATAAAATATAATATAACAATAAATATAATAAGCAATAAATATAATAATAATAATAATAAAATAATAATAAATAATAATAATATAATGGTAACATAATAGTAATGGTAATAAAGATGATAATGGTAATGATGATAAGAACGATGATGATGACGATAATAATAATAACAGTATAAAAACAATACCAACAACAATAATAATTATACTAATA